TGTAATCATATGGGTCCTGGTTGGCTTCCCAAGAAGAGCTCTTGATGGAGAAAACATACCACTCTTGCTTGAGCATAGCTATATAGAGAAACTTAGCAAAGTGAGATTTCATAATGACATGCACATTGTTTATTTATAATTCAAAAGAATTAGTTTTTTCTTCCTTTTTTTTTTTATATTTAAGAATACCTGAGAAGGAGTTGCAGGAGAAAGAGTGGAGGAAGCCATAGTTGAGATTGGAGTAATGGTGTAGAAGAGACTGAGCAGTATCTTGGTTTTTGTAATTGAGTTGATATTATGGAGATCGGAAGTAACGACGACCACAATAACAGTTAAAGTGGATAAGGCAGCAATATGATGCCACATATTTAGAGATGATGCTTTTTATCTCTCCTACACTAGTTGCTCATCCCCAATTTTGGGCCTTACTGCCGATTCAGCCTTTTGAAAAAAGGCCTCGTAGATGTTGAATGACTGGCCATAGTGAAAATCGAGAGACGGGATTCTAAGAGGCCCGGGGTCTAATGGAGAACGAAAACAACGTTGTTTTTTCAAGATGATATTTCATATGCTATGGTATAAGTTAAAGAAAGCTACTGCACACCATTTTTTTTTATTTTTTTAAAAAAAAAAAAATACACTACACTTATTAGTTTTGGTATACAAATTGACGTGGGATTTCCTTTTTATATTATTGATTTAATTTTTTCGCTATTTGATCATTATGTAGTACATTGTCTTGTTTACAGAATTTATAATTGTAATATTGGTCCTACCCCCTTTTTCTTTATTAATCACCCTTTGACATGCATAAAATAAACAAGTTGTTAAGTTAATAATATTTGCTGCATTTATTTCACTGTTTTTCCACCATCCTATCCTAAAAACTCAAAAATGCATTTGTTTCAGTATTCTCAACATTCAATTTTACTTTATCCAACTCAAAACATTAACAATTACCTTTCTTGTAAAAATAATTCAATTCAACTTAGCTTTACTTTTTCTAAAATACTATTATGAAAAGTATCATAATAGTAAACCAAATGGAGTCATAATTTTCGTTTGTATTTTATAAATTTGTCAATAATAGAATGAGGGAATGAAAATAGCACTTTTTGTGAAAGAAATTGACTCTAACAATATTAAAAAAAAAATTGTAAGTTGATGCTATATTTTTTATACGCATGTCAGAGAGTAAAGGTGAGAAATGAGAAAGTGAGTATAGTTAACACATTCAATAACAAGCTTTGTAGAGTAGAGCCCATGGGTCAAACTGTCTATACTTTATATTGGGCTAGCTGCTTGACTGCTAAGAAAAACTAGAATCTGGGCCATTGTAAGATATCTAATTTGATTTTAAGATCTTTATAGGTGTGGGAATAATGGGTAGTGAGAAATAATAATAATGATGTAGGTTTTGGGATTTTGTCCAAAGTGGAGAAAGAGAAAGGAAAAGGCCCACTGGGTTTGTCTACATTCTATGATATATAATGATGGTGTTATCTGCATGGGTGTTATGGCGTGAAATATCCACTCATCATATCACCTGCATTTCTCTCCCCCTTTGTCTCTCTATTTTATCATTCCAAGCGTGCTCATCATCCCATCCCCAATCTCTCCCCTTTTCCTTTATATATTAATTCACTATGGGATTGATTATATTTATATGGAAATGGAAATGGAAATGGAAATGGAAATGGAAATCATTCATAATTATCAACTATGTTTTCACCCTTTATTCAACCTTCTCAATTCACATATGTCTTACCACACCTAATTTTAAATTACTACAGTACCCCACATTTTATATCATCATGCGGCTGTTAGTCTTATATGTTAATGTTACTATTGTCCACGTTCTTTGCAAAAGTATCCCAGATGCAAATGTATATATAAATAATTATAGAGATAAAAAAAAAAAAAAAAGTAAAAGGAGAGGTGTAGTTGTGGGTATCTTTGGTTTCTTTAGGCTTTCTCTTGCACCAATGCGTAGAAAGAGAGAGAATCTATATTATCATCGTCAAAGAAGAAGACACCCAACAACAAAAGTGATAAGGTAAAATATAAATGATATACTGATTACATATATTCATAGATAAATGAATAAAGAAGAGAGAGCTACAGGATGGAATGAAGCAAGCTTGAAGCAAAGCCCCAAAAGAAAAAAATGGAACGTTCTTCAAAGGCATTTCGAGATGATGGAAACTTAAAGCTGTTTAGCTTCTTGTGATATCAATAACTAAGCTTTTTGTCTCCCCAACTCAGTTCTTAACTATATTATAATTCCTTATATTCAATTAGTGAAATCACACTCTAATTTAATTTACTCACTTACTTGTAGAATCCTATGGAACAACCATTTAACTAATGATTTTCATGCATGCGCAAACCTTGCATTGCTATATGCCTCTCTCTTTGCATTCTGAGAAATTTCTGATGAATGAAAAGAAATATGCAAGATAAATTTGATAATTTTAGATACGGTGATTGGCGATGATAGATTTCTGACAAATCACCGAAGATGTTACGGCTATTAATCATGTAAATTATGATGTCAAGGTTGATGTTGTTGCTCTTGTCGGCAAAATTATAATGTCACAAATAATAACATAAAGGGATTTTATGCGGCAAAATAATGATATCTCCTCTAATTAATAACGCTCTGTTAATAAAAGAAGATGGAAAAGTAAGAAGCTCCTTGTGGGTTTCAAGCACAAAAGGCACAGGTCAAATTGTTAAATTGATTGGTGAATAATTTCAAAGGTAGGTGCATTGAAGAATTATGTCGGGACCCTTTTTTTTTATTATTCACTTAAAAATGACCACACATAAGATTGTTTGGTTTATAAAGTGAGAAAATGCTTGTGTGTTCCCACCAGCTTTACCTTCACAGATTAATCCAAACTGTTGAGCGAAAGTGATCGAAATTCGGGGTGTTACTAAAGGACAAAACAGATAGATAAGGCTTCTACATAGAAAGTTGTACAATATATCTGTCATACTAATTAGCACAATTAGTCTTTTAAATTGCCTGCCCATTGTATTTTAGGATGAATGTCCATGATATGATCATTCATAAAATTGGCATTGAAATTTGCAGGAATATATCCATAAAAGTGTAAATGATATCCCTTGGAAAATTAGGGTGAACCGTTCAAAACTGGTCCCGTATATATCTTATATGATCAGGATAACATGAAATTGGGGAAAAATTTTGCCCTCAGCTGGAAGAAACAGTGTTCTCACTTAATTCCAATCTTTAATTAATAGCTGCTACTAGGTAGTCTGCTACATCAATGGCAATTGTGTCAGGCCCACACACAGCTTAACCCTGAGAAATTAACACAAAGTTTGATATTAATCCTATAACATATTAGTTTACCTGCAAGTCTATCAGTAGTTTAAATTAAGTCGCGGATCAACGACAAATTGACTCTACTTTGGAGGAAAAGTCTTGAATTATTTGAAATAATATTAAACTTTTACAACTTGATCAGTTAACTTGGGTAAGTTCAATTGATTACAATTTCTTCATTGACTTCGATTATAATTAAACATATTAAAGAATTGCGGTCCTATAAATACTTAGTTTTTAATCCTACGAGTTATGACGCCAAACTAATTAATGTAGTGAAGAGTTCACATGCTTATAACTGCAGAAGTTTTGTCTTATTAATAGTCTCTTCCATTTGTAAGGAGAGAGCTAGCCAGTCTTTCTCATTGAATACAAGGGACATGAACACAAGCTGTCAACCTGCAACCACATAAAAAATTAATGCAGAATTGTAATATCAGCAAGCTTTAATTGCGATTTGCGTATAAGATGATTTAGAAATGCATAGTGGGAGTGGGGTGTTGAAGACTTTCACTTGTAGTAGTTACATGGTTTGGTGTGAAGAAGGCTACAATTCAAACTTGTCATTGTCCTTGAATTTGTCGAATAATGTTTATATGGTTTAAGAACCGAGGCCCACTTGGTCTCTTTGTATTTGATTTTTGTGAGATGTGAAGAGGGTGACCATACTCAATTAATTTGAATCAACAAAATTACTTCTTGACTTAATTGTGCTAGCTTGGTTATCTCTTAATTAATTAATTTGATTTGATTCTTTCTTTTTTTCGATGAGTTTATATCTCATTCCCATATATGTCAATTTTTTTTTTTTTTTTTAACATAAGATGTCCTAATTTTATTGTACTTTTTCTACACATTTATTTCCATATATCTTGAAGCAATAAAAACTTGTACAATTGATGGCAAAATTTGAATAGGGTTGGGATATTTATTAAATGCAATCTGGTTACAGAATTTTCTCTCCTTCTAGGATAAGGATAAATTTCGGATATGGGTAAATATTTGTAAATTATACAGAACAAGGAAGCTTGAAAATCTTTGCATTAATAATTTCAAAACACGTATTACTGAACTAGAGTTCATAATTATCTTTTTTCTTCTCCTCAAAAGTTAAATGTTCACACATTCCCCTAATATTGTGAAATTGATATTATTGGATAGTGGGGTAGATATGGTCTAAAGACTTGGAAAAAATGGCTAATTTCTACATATAGATGCATTTTCAGTTGGGTCATAAAGTGCTTGTAAAGACAATATATCATCATGTAATATATTTTCTTAAGATTTTATTTAAGTAATTATACGGGTAAAATGTTCCCTACCCTTTCTCCCTGACGTCTTAATTATCTCAATATTCGCTCTTTATTTCACAGAAAGAATGGTTAAGTTATAATATTCAAACGCCTAAAAAATGTTTAACACGCGAAAGAGAGATTTATTTGATTATTTCAACCTGCACTAGCAAAAAAGATGGCTACGTGTCACAGAAATACGTTAATAATAAGATAAACCCATGTCAGAACAACCTTATGACTATTAGCTATTATTATATTACCATGCCTTATTCTAATTCAGTTACAAATAATAAAAATCTATCAAGAAACAGGCACATAAATTCTTAAAATTCTCAAGGTAACACGTTGCAAAATCTTATTTGCTTGACTTAAAAAAGTCTTAACAGTTAAAAACTAAAGTGTGTTCTTGTTGCTCTTCAAACCAATCTACTTCTGACAAAGCTTGAACCTCACAGCAAAAGTGGCTCTATCTGATCCCAGCTCCCATGTTTTCCTTCCCAATAAAAAGAGAGGCAGTTTAGCATTTGTCAATGCAAAGCATTTCTGAAAGAATTAAGAAACGCACAGCTAGCTGTCTTCATTTGCCAAGGAGTGAAGTTCAAGTCTCCACCACACCACACAACACCATCTTTTAATAAAGATATCATATCATTACTCTTTAACACTCTCTCTGTCTACTACTACTAGTACTAGCAACCAATTTTTTCACTCCTTCATTTGACTTTTAACTAATGCATGTGTATGCTCTTCTACTCATCAACTGATCTTTTACTCACTCACTCAATGGAGTTCAATCTTGAATACCCTTTTACAAATTTCCAAGACCTTGTCCTTGATGATGATACAGAAACCTTACCATCTCTCTTCCTCGTTGAATCTGATCACATGCCTTCAGAGGACTATCTGAAGTCTCTCAAGAGCAGTTCTTCTGATTTCTCTGTTAGGCAACACACTATCTCTTATATCTTCCAGGTACTTAACTGTAAATTTCTAAGCATTTCCTTTTCGTCGCTCAGTTCTGATTTCTTTATTTTTTTTGGTTTACTGTTTTCAGTTTTCCTGTGACTTTGATCCGTTATTATCATATCTTGCTTCCAATTACATGGATCGTTTTTTATCAACCCAAGCATTGCCGGTAAGAAGTCCTGGTGACTCTTGATTATCTTTCTTGTTATGTTTCTTAATTGGTGGTTGTTTTGAGATCTGACTGAATCCTGATAATGTAGCAACAAAAGCCTTGGATGCTTAGGCTTCTTGCAATCTCTTGCATATCTCTGGCGGCAAAGATGAGGAAAATAGAGTTCACTCTCACTGATTTTAAGGTAAAGTTTCATGTTTTATTCATACATTAGCTAATAGTAATTCTACAAAATCCATAGAATACTTTTGCTGAAGAATTTTATGTACAGGGGGATGGAGGACTAATATTTGACACACAAACTATAGAGCGAATGGAGTATCTCATCTTGGGAGCTCTGAAATGGAGAATGCGTTCAATTACTCCCTTTTCTTTCCTCTCCTTTTTCATTCCTCTGTTCAAGCTCAAAGACCCTCCATTAAAACAAGCTCTTAAAGCTCGGGCAATTGAAATCATTTTCAAAGCTCAAAGTGGTAATATTTCGATACCCAGAAAAAACTCGCAACTACGATTTGTTTACACCATATCTATCTCAATTCTAAGTCTTTTATTACATTGATAATATCGTTACGCAGATATCGAGATTTTAGAGTTCAAGCCATCAATTATCGCTGCAGCGGCTCTTCTCTCTGCCTCTCTTGAACTATTTCCTTTGCAATTCTCTTGCTTTAGAAAGGCAATTTCCAACTGTTCATATGTAAATAAGGTAAATCTTTATTAATTCTCCTTCTGTTTCTGTTCCTGTTCCTTTCCCCAAGTTATTATTAGTTATGATGGTTACAATGGTTCACATTCTGCAAGCTAGCGTCTTTTGACTTCTAAAGACTAAAGCTTTGTATTTTCCCCATATCAGAGACCAATAAAAACCCATACATTTTTTAGTATGTTATTATTATGACTGATCGAGAGGTAATGTAATATGTTATCTTGACTTGGTTAATTAGCTTTATCGTGCTTCAAAGTAAAAAAGTTGAATATTTAATGGTAATATTGTTGCAGGAAAAGATGTTGGAGTGCTACAATTGCATAGAAGACATAATGATGGATGGATACGAGTCAGGATTTGAAACGGTGTCCAGCTCGGACACGCCAGTCAATGTACTTGACCGGCGATTTTCAAGCTCAGAAAGTGATAAGACCCTTGGCTCCACCACCACCACCACAACCCCCAATACTCAGCATAGCCTAGAGAGAGATGCCAAGAGGAGAAAAATGAATGGTTTCTGTGACAATCACCAGCTTTCCCAGGCCCAACAGCACACCGCTAATGCAACTGGTTTCTATATTTAATCAATCGCCTGGTCCTTTGAGAGTGACCCTAGCTAGCTACATAGCAGCAGGCAGCTGCCTAGCAGCAGGCAGCTGCTTCAAATAAACAAGTAGAATTATTATTTTTAAAAAAAAAAAGGGATAAAAAAGAATGGGCAAGAAGTTGATGTTTCATGGAAAAAATCAATGCCACAGGATCTCAGTACGACACATTTGCTGTGTTAGCTAAAAGAAAATCAATGAAGGCTAGAAGAAAGAGAATAGAATTTTTGTTTCCTTTTGTTTCTAAGAAGCTAGCGCGCTGCAGGCAGCAGCAAACAAAGACAAAACATTACTTTGAATTGTAGGGGTTCAATTTGTGTTTCTGTTTTGGTTTTAGCGCGGTTATGTCCCTTAGTTTCTGGCAGAAGAATAATAAGACAGTGATAATAACAATAATAAAACAATAATTTTCTCGGAAGATCAAATTAATATTTTTATATTTTTTTTGGTTAATATTAATTCATGATTCTTTTACTTTAACTGTAAGAATAGTCAGCGTGGGAAAGCTGTACTGTGTCTGTGTTTGTGTCCCAGTATTTGCATTGAACATGTTGGAGCTAAAACGATTGTCAATAAATTGTATAGCTCCAAAGCCTTAATTTATTATTGAATTATCAAGATCTTAGGGACTATTTTAATGAATAGAGATGATTTATGGTCCCCGGTAATAAGATTTCCCTATCTATAATAGCTGGACGCCTGGACCACTTCATCAATGCATCAATTCCTATATAAAACAAGAAGAAACTTCAGGGTTTTCTTTTTTAATTATTATATATTTATATTTAAAGTAATTTCATGTTTTATAAAGAAAGCCAGAGAGTTACACCACTCTACATCCATGATGGAACAAAATTATTACTGAAATTAAAGCTTTGTGTTGGCTAATATTTGGGGTAATAACAAGCAGATGCAAGCTTAGTAATATTGTATTGCTAAAACTCAAAAAACCTGTTATGCCTCAAAAAGTCAAGCCTATGTCAGCACAATTAATGTCTCTCTGCCAAGCCCATATCTCCAAAGATATTCTCACCAACTTTATCTTATTTCAAAGAGATGAATGGACAAGAGCCTTCCATGTGTCAAGGCAGTTTGCAAAAGCTCTCATTGAATTGAGTGCAAATGTGAATAAATGGATTTTTCTCTTCCCGAAGAAGGGAGGCTGGTAGCTGGGCTGAGATTTAGCTTCAATTCTTTCTCTCTGTAAAAACACTGTATTTCTTCATCTTTGTATGCCTTACGGGCAAATTCATAGAAATAGTGAGAGATCAATAAAATAACAGTGGATGTAGGAGTCGCTTGTTGAGCATCCGAACCACTATAAAAACCCATTTTGCCAATCTTTTATTTATATTTTCTGCAAAATATATAATCTCAGCTCCATATTCAAATCTCATAGATCCATCACGTGTGTCTCCTGAGTCAGCTCAGCGTTTCCCACGTGCGAGTCGTTGGCGTCCAAAATCAAGCGTCAACAAAACCTTTTGTCTTATGTTGATACTTGATTTTGACACTAACGACTTGTACGTATAAAATGTTAAGTTGTTCTTAAAAATTATACGTGAATGATTCATGAGAAGTGTTTATGATGTTGAGGTGATATATGTTTGATGAAACATAAATAAAAGATGAACAAAAGAGATTTTTATAGTGGTTCAGATACTTAAAGCGAATTCTATATCTATTGTTATTTTATTATTATCTGATTATTTTTATGATATTATCTGTAAGGTGTGCAAAAACGGAGAAATGCTTTGTTTTACAAAAAAAAAAAAAAAATGATGAAGCTCAAATTTATGCCCAGCTCTCATATGTCGAACCTCTCATTTTCATAAAGAGAGGTGCACATTTATACCTTTGAGATCAATGTAATGAATGTTTTTACAAGTTGTTTTGACACATAAGAATCACTACTTAATCCTTATTTTAAAATAAAATAGGATTAATATAAAAATATCTCTTAGAAGCGATTTGAGTTTTTAATAGCTAATACTATCTTATCTTTAAGGTTGTGTTGATGTCAATAGTGTGTATTTTTGGCACAATACCTTATTTATTATTGGTAGGTGATTGTAACTGTATCAAAAAATTTATCCAACTCTCACCAAAAATAGTGTTAGTTAAATTAAGGTTCTCAGGAATTAATAATATTAATTAAAAAAAAAAAAAAAAGCCTCTAAAGTCAATACACCATACATCATTCTTTTGTAGCCTAAGGAAAAACAAATGATTTCAGACTGATTTACCTGCTAGGGTTGGAAGTACATTGTTGACGACGTCTGGTTCTTCTTCCTATTTAATTATAATTGTCTTTTTGTTCTCCGTAAATACTGTTGTATAATTTGACATGCTTACTCGTAGAAGGTAGCCTTAGACTTTAGAGAGATCTACGATTGATGTTCAAACTTACCTAACAATATATATCTGTTTTGTTTACATGTGACTATTATTCAAATTTACAAGTAAGATATAGTCTTTGACACATTTTACTTTTGGCGCGTTGGGTATACCGTATACAGATGCATTTAATTTATAATTGATGTGACAATGCAGATATTAAAGAATGACCTTTACAGGTATAAATAAATTAGTGTTCTTTCAAGGCCTTATAAATTAACAATTTGATATTATTATTATTAATTATTATTTTTTTTTTTTTTTAATAAGCGACGAAGATTTTTTCTTAGGATAATGATTCCCTTCCTGTACAAACATTGAAATTGACCGTTGATAAAAATGAATTTAATACGCAATTGAAGGTATTCCTTTGTACACATGAATAATTAAGGATAAGCTTATCAAATCTTGTGTCTTATGTTACAACTCATCACATCAACATAAAATTTTCTGTTTAATGAATAAGTTTGCGGTAGTTCCAATATAGTATTAAAAATTGGCGTCTTCTTATAGAATTAATTTTTCATATACAAATATAAAATTGACTCGAAAAAAAGTGGGTATAAATCTGGTCTACGAATTAGGTCTGTGTACCGAATTACCTGCTGCGTCCTTGCCTCCTTGGGTCCATGAGGACCATGACAGAGTAATTTGATAATGTTCAGAAGAGTCAACATTTTCAATGTAAGTCTTCTTCGTACCATATATCTAGCTAACCATATCGGCCTATTTGTGCTTCATATTTCGATATTTGCAGTTACCACCTAAATATCTTACGGATTCTGAACATGGTCGTGCTTCATCCTATGTCGTTCAATTGCATCGACATAATTTTAAATATATATGTTCATTTTGACATGCATTTCGAGAGTGTATGGACTTATTGTGCATGAATTGCAATATTGGGAACCTCTAGTTACCATATAAATTTCTCAATTGATAATTCTCAATCTCATCAGAGTTTCATTGCCTCATTTGTTTTCTTTTAGGTAAAAATTAACTTATTTACAGAATCTAAAACAAGACATGTTGATGAAAATATAAATATTGACCCAATGATTGGTCTAACGGTTAAAGAGGTTTATTCATTTCCTTAAGTTTCGAATTTAAATTTTAAGGTCACCTACCACAATAAATTATAATTTATTTGATTTTTTTGTGTTGTATCAGTTCAATGGACTTAAAAATTAATTGAGGTATGTACAAGTAGATTTGTATCTGTTTAAAAACTTAAAAATTAATAAGATATATACAAACAAACAGATTTGAATACTCTATTACTCATATATATATATATATATATATATATATATATATATAATATATATAATATATATATATATATATATATATTATGTGTGGGCCAGGGATTTATCATCACTGTCTTATTTCCAAGGCTAGCTGAAACAAGAAATAATTATGACCTTACATGAAATAAATAGATTGGAAGAAACAAGAAACAGAGAAGAAGATTCATGACATGATTGATGATTGATCGAGGTGAGTGCTTTATGCAAAAGCACGTAAGTCACATGAAGTCCGAGACGGGAAGGCCCCATAACTGTTATGGTGACAATGATAAGATAAACCTCTGAACTTCATAAATTACGTGAACAGAAGTGAGGTAGGGTTTCACATATTTTTGACTTTGTTAGATCATAAAATAATAAAAGCAAACAGTGGTTTACAGCTCTACTAGTATTCTGGTACATGTTTGACTATATGAGTGTTGACGCTTGATTTTGGACACTAACAATTCACACGTAAAAAATACTGAATTGATTCAAGAGACACACGCGATGGATCCATGAGATTTGAATATGGAGCTGAGATTATATATTTTACAGAAAAATAAATAAAAGATTGGCAAGAGGGGGTTTTTATAATGGTTCGGATGCTCAATAAGCGACTTCTACATCCACTGTTATTTTATTGCTCACTGACTATTTCTATGATTTTGCCCGTAAGGCATACAAAGATAAAGAAATACAGTGTTTACAGAAAGAGGATGAAAATGAAGCTCAAATCTCAGCCCAGCCTCCTTCTTTGGGAAGAGGAGTGCCCATTTATACACCTAAACACTCAATGTAATGAGTGTTTTGCAAGTTACCTTGACACATGGAAGACTCTCGTCCATTCATTTCTTGAAATGAGACAGGATTGGTGAGAATATCTTTGGAGATATGGGCTTGGCAGTTGGTACAAGAAGACATTAATGAGCTGACATAGGCGTGACTTTTTAGGCATAACAGAAGCCTCCCAGTTTTTGAAATGCGTAATCACGCTTCAGAAACTAAGGTCTTTGATCTGAATTGCTGCAGTCTTGAACTGAAGAGCTCGAACTAAAATCTGTTAGGAAAACGACCTGAAATCTGGTAGGAGCATGACCTGAAATCTGTTAGGAAAACAACCTGAAATCTGTTAGGAGCTCGACCTGAAAACAAAACGAGCTCAACTTGAGAGCAAAACGAGCTCAATCTGAGAGGTCAAAACGACCTAAATGAACAAAACGAGTTCAATCTGAGAGTAAAACGAGCTCAATATGCACATAACGAGCACGACCTGGCTTCGACCTGAACGTATAACGAGTACGACTTGGGCTCATAACTAGCACGACCTGGGCTCGACCTGAGCCCATAACGAGCACGACCTATGCTCAACCTGAACGCATAATGAGCACGACTTGGGCTTGACCTAAGCATATAACGAGCACGACTTGAGCTCATAACGAGCATGACCTGGGCTCGACTTGGGACGCATAACGAGCACGACCTGTGCTCGACCTGAACGAACACGACCTGGGCTCAACCTGAGCATATAACGAGCACGACCTGAGCGTGCGATAAGCGATCTGGCCACGTGATCTGGGTGATCTGAACGTGCGATTTGAGCGTGTGATCAGCGATCTGACCACGCAATTGGAGAATTCTGACATGTGCGATCTGCGATCTGGCCACGCGATCGGAGAACTCTGACACGTGCGATCTGAGATCTGGCCACGCGATCGAAGCTCTA